AAAAAGGGCATAAAAATAGAATATACAATGCCATACAGCCCCCAAACAAACGGCAAAGCAGAAAGAATGAATCGTACACTTCTTAGAGAAGTTTCGAAGTGTTCTGTGTACAAGTTGAATAGAACACCAACGTCAGAACTACGTAGAAGTCAAACCCTATCGCAAATATGGAATCGTAGAAATTATATCAGCAAAGTAAGAATTTTTGGTTATAGAACATGGTACAATGTTTTGTCCAAAGGATATAAGTTAGAGTCAAGGTCAAGAAAAGCAGTCATGGTAGGATACTGTGGTGGTGATTACAAGCTGTTGCTGACAGATGAAGAAAAACTTATTCGTTCGAGAGACGTCCACTTTGACGAGACCATCATGGAATATAAAATAGACAAAAAGCAAGAAAATAAAGATACACATGGAAATGTAATTATTGACAGAAACGAAATAGGAAGTAATCAAGAAAACAAACAAAATCAAAATGAGACAGAAAATATTGGAGACATTCACGATTCTGAAGAGAGTGATGAAAGTGAGCATGAATATATGCCACGAGCTGGAACAACAAGATCAGGTAGAAATGTAACAAGACCAAAGATTTTAAGTGACTATGAGTTATATGTATCTTATTGTTTGCTATCAAAAAACGAAGAAGAACCAAAGACATATAAAGAAGCTATAAAATCTCAAGAATGGCAGCAAGCGATTGAAAACGAAATAAATAATATTGTGTTCCAGAGAGGGGCCCCATATGTGAGCATTGGTCTTATGACCTGCTTGTAGATTCGGAGTTTATTATCGGGGGATAGAGAGGAGTTAGGACCTATTAGGGGGTGAAGTTTTTGCTGCGCACTGAAGGTGCGTGCCAAAGCATGGGATACGTGGTGGTGGAATTTTATGATCTGGTCGAAGATGATGCCTAAGTATTTTACTTTTGGGGATAGTCTGACTGGGATGTTATTTACGATAAGTGGGGTGGGGTGGCCATGGTGCTATGTATATGTTTCTTGTGAAAGCATAAGTACCAGTTCTGTTTTCTGTCCATTAACACAAAAAGGCCACTCTTACAGGAGTAGTTCTAAAATGATGGAATGCAAATATTAAAACGAGTCGTATGACGTTTAGTGTATTCTACCGATACCCGAACTCAATGAGCGAGCGCTACGTATTCAGTTTAGATTGACTTTCAAGTTTAAATGTTAACAAACAAGGCTAAGAATAAGATTATCACATATGAATAGTCATGATAGCAAGAGTCACAAGTGTCGCAACAAAGTAGACGCAGGAACAAAATCACTTCAACTGTGGAAAGTTTCTATCGTGGCCCACTTATGGTTTAAACGTCTGATTATCTCTTCAATAGGGTAAGTCCTATTGAAAAGGCCAATGAATGAATAACATCTTCACTTCTATCTGGCTTTCCTTCTCATAAACAATTGCAAACTTGGACTCCGGTTCATTTGCCAGACGAAAAAGTAGCTATTGATATTCGTTAGGTATTTAGAATTAAAGAGGACGGAAAGAAAAAAGTCCCATTTGTAGGCTTTCTATACAATCGGAATTTTAATATCAGTCTCAGTTCAAAAAAATTGGACTCTAAGGCAAGTCGATGTACCTACAACGTTTTTGAATGGTTCGTTGGACAGTGACGTCTATATTAAGAAACCGGAAGGACTTAAGAGTGATTCAAAATACCTAAAATTAAATCGTGCTTTATATGGTTTACGTAATGCACCAAAATGTTGGAACATCAAGTTTACGGTAGTAATGTTACACCTGGAGATCAGAAGATCTGGATATGACTAAGTATTGCTTATACATCAAAGATGACGTGTGTTCAGTTTCATCTACGCGCCCTGTATATAGTCGTTGTAGGTTAAATTGGGTATTAAGGATGTCAAATCCAATTTGGGAATGCAAATTGATTCGGTTTTTTTCTCTCTTTATTTATGTTTTCTTTTATCCTTATTGAATTGCGCGTACTATATGCCATATGCCTAAGAATTGATACGGCTTTGCTAAATTTGGCTTTCAAAAATGCGCGCGTTAAACACTGAAAAAGGATGTCTGCAAAGTCCTTACACTGCCGACGAAAAGTCAGTAGCCAAAAGCACTCTGTCCGTTTCGTGTGGTTCGAGAAAATAGACCTGCGGTTTTTCGCTTGCCGCGACCGGTTAAATCAAGTCGGTTTCATTTGTACTCCTTCGCATTGGACTTGAATTTCCTGAAAGAGCTGGCCAGCTGAGTGGAGTTTGGAATTTAAGCCAGGTAAGGTGAAAAAATATCCTTTTCAATTTCAATTTGAAATCTTTCATCGATTACCATTCTATCAGCAACCTGTGGATTTTCCAGTTTTAATTTCGCATAACGTGTATCTAGTGCTTTTTGTAGATGACGCCCTAATTATCGGACCAGATATAGAAGTTGGAGAACTTGACAGAAGTGACCTGATTCCTAGGAATGGACATAACAAAAACCGATGATGGACTAAAAATTACACAAAGATGATTTTAAGATTATTAAATGAGTTTAGTATGACAGAATGTCGTTCCATAGCAACACCAATGGAACCAAATTTTCAAATGAGAGAAGATGAGCAAGTCTTTTCATATTTTTACCAGTATTGTTTGTTAATTGTCATGTCATTTTGATTAGTTAGTCCATAGAGTTAGTCAGTTTGGTTCTGTGTCAGTTACTCAAAAAATGTGTCGAGTTGTTAGTTTTTTGTAATACAATCTTTCGTAATCGAAGTTGTTTCAATATCAGGAAAGTCCTCAAATTCTATTAAAAACGGTCATAAGTGCTAAAATTGACACAATGTTGCTAGAGAAAGTATTAATCACCTGTCAAAAGATGGATGTGGAACCCTATCGAAAATTATCAGAAAAAAAATAAAAACTCAATTTGAAGCATTTTTTTTTCATATCGTCTCGCAGCATCACTAGGTGTGCATATTAGATCATTACCGTTATATAAACCCTTCGTTTTTATTCCAATCGGTGACTTCACCGATGGGTTAGCTATCTTTGTTTAGTGAATTGAAAATGACAATGACCGACGTAGAATGGTGGATCCAACGGTAAAATTTGATGATAAAAACGCAGGGAAACTACTTAATTATAAACCACTAGTCGCCTGACAACCTTAATACAACTCGGATTAACATTAGGTGGCTTGGTTCGACGTTTATACAACGTCGGGTGAATTGTTACTTTAAATAAGCTTAGGGGCATAGATGAATATTTCTCAGAGTATAAGCATCTTGCAACAAATGAAAATGCTCTATGTGAGAACGGCCTTTGGTTATAACTTATTTTCATGTTGCACCATTAGTGAATCCCAGACAGCACACAAAGTCTTGAAGACGTATTTTTTTAGGTCTGCATTATGTCTGAACACCAAAAAAAGACGCCTAGAAGACGCTGTTTCGAAGATGTTCATAGATAAAGAAGACTATGTAGTCTGTACCAACTGGTACAACCAGGCCTAAAAGTGAATAATCGTTTATGTATTGAAAAAAGATTCAAAGACGTCTTTAAGACATCTCATTGAAGAGTAGTTCTAAAGTCGACTAAAATATCTTAGTCCTGAAGACGACTTTAGGCAGACGTCCGAAAGACTTCAAGATATCTTTAAGACGTGTTGAATGTCGTTTGTACACATCAGATTTACGATTTCAAAAAACATTTTAGAACAACAAGGCAGACGTCTATAAAAGACGTCGGGTATTGTAACATACGACGTCTTTGAAATGTCTTTAAGATGCCTTGAAGACGTAAGCGAACGTCTTAAAGACGTCTTGAATGTCGTTTGTGGACATCTTAGGGACATCTTTAAGATGCTTCTGTTCTGTCTGGGTTCTAACAATAAGTTTATTTTGCTTTACATCTCCTACCCTCATAGAATTTTAGCCTATGCGAAGGAGCCACAATTTACATTGAAAATAGGCCCCCGTAAATTTTAACTAAATTTCAATATTTTAAAGGTGGTGATGATACCCAAGAAAAAATTTGAAATGTAAAGAGGATCGTATGTCTGTGATAGCAGATATAGCTCATCAAAGTACGTAGGTCCTGCTATGCTATGCATAGGAAATATTCAAGAAAAATCCCTACGTAGATTTTCTTGAATATCTCGAAAAATACTAATCCGATTTAGACCTTTTTGGAGTTTGATACCTACAAAAGGAACCCAAAAATTTCAAAATCGGATTAGTATTTTTCCAGATATTCAAGAAAATCTACGTAGGCATATTTCCTATGCGTAGCATCGCAGGACCTACGTACTTTAATGAGCTATATCTGCTATCACAGACATATGATCCTCTTTACATTTCAAATTTTTTCTTGCAATGATGATACCTCTAAAATATTTGGTTGAAATTTATGGGGGCCTATTTTCAATGTTAATTGTGCCTCCTTCTTTTGATGGTGTTCATTGTTTATCAAAATTATCTGTATAAAGGTTGAAATCATTAGCTTTTTATTCGATTTCAGAAAAGAGGCAAAAATACTCTACCTACATTTTTTATATTCTTGAATTTCTAAAATAGCCTTATTATTACTTATGCATCAAACCTGATTAGAACACAAAAGAAAACGAGGTGAGAGTTATCTTTTCCCGCAACTGTGAGACGAGACATGAAATAGAGTATCTAGACGAGACGATAATACACTTTTTGTCGTCCCGTAATATCACTAGGTGTGCATGTTATATCTTCAACTACTCAATCATATATCACTAGTCGCCTGACAACCTTAATACAACGCGAATTAACATTAGGTCGCCAGGCTCGACGTTTATACAACGTCGGGTAAATTATTACTTTAAATAAGCTTACAGGGGCCTAGCTGAATATTTCATTTCACTATAATCTTTCCTAGAGAATAAGCATCCTGCAACTCAACAAATAAAGAGGCTCTCTATGTAAGAACGCCCATTGAATTTCTTATTCAATGTTATGTTGCACCCCAAAATTTTTGACTAAATTTAAACTATAAACTCACCTAAATTTCCATCAGACGTACTATAATCATAAAATCCATTCGGTGATGGTGCCTCGTTGAGCTCCTCCTCAATATTATTCGGCTTACAACTCGTAGTTTTCCAATGCGTCCTCAATCCGGACGCACTAATATAGTTTTTGCCGCACTCCTGACAAATGTACGGCCTCTCGTTGGTGTGCAGCCGTTTGTGCAACTTCAAATGTACAAACTGAGTGAACTTCGCCGGACAAAAGTCGCAAGCGTACGGTTTCTGACCGCTATGCAGTCGTAAATGGGTTTTGAGGTTGGATGTCGACGAAAAACGTTTTTTGCATATGCCGCATTCGTGCGGCCGTTCGCCTGTGTGCACCAAATGGTGTTTTTGTAAATGAGCGAGTTGTGTAAACGATTTGGTGCAAACGTTGCATTTGAAGGGCCGCTCGCCGCTGTGAGTTCGCAGATGGACTTTGAGATTGGAGAGTTGGCCAAATGTTTTACAACAAACGTTACACTCGTAATGCATTTTGCCATCTTTTTTCTTTAGCGGATAAGGTAGGCTTCTATAGCCTCGAGATCCATTTGGGCTTAGAGGACTTGAAATAACGTTAATGTCGTACCTCAAATCGGGACTTTTTGAGTTTGGCGATCTGTTATTGCTACTGTCGTATTGAGTCATTGGTGTTAATAGATGATGCGTCAAGTTTGAGTTTATGACGCAGTTATTTGTTACTATAACATTAGATGTAGGTCTTTCGTTGAAGTTATTATTTGGTGATGGTGCGTTATTGTGATGGTGTGGAATCTCTGTGGGTGAATAAGATGTTGAATAATAATTTGGTTGTATTGCTTGTAAATGCTCTGAAGTCATATACAGATGATCTTCGTCTGTTGAATCAACATTTTTTGTCGCACAAGAATGAGCAAATGCTTGTTCTAAGTGAGCATTAGAACTTGAATCAGGACTGCAAGGTTTTGTACCATATCGGTGACTCTTTTTATAGCTGTAAGCCATCTCCGTAGGGGAATTCGGTGGCGGTGTAACCGAATTCGATTGCCTTTCATTATTACTATTATTGTTATTATTACTATCAGTTCGATTGCCCAATAAAATATTTTCTAATATACTGGATGTGGGTGGTGTGTATCTTATATACCCGTTGGCCAATGGTTTGTAATCGGATTCGTAAAAAGCTACTTTGTTATTAGGAACTTCTGTGGCTGATGGAGAATCAGTGGCCACCATGATGGGCGGCGACATTAGTCTAGGAGCTAGCGTTGCGATTTCAGGTACTGCGGTTTCGTGTATCGGCGATAAGTCTTTTTCGGTTTCATTGTCACTTTCCCCTGGAATTAACAAAAATTGAATTTTAACAAACATAAAACTACTTTATAAACTGATTCAGTTAGATTACACATTTTTATTAAAATATTGTAATAATAATACAGACTGATGTAGGATAAGAGTTATTAATTTTTTTTATTATTCATTTTATAAAAGCTGAGGTTTTTGTCTAGACTTTGCTCAGTTATAGATTATTTTTGGGACTTAAGCTTGGACATGGGTAATAAAACAAATACTGTCCAAGAAACTTGACAGCTTTTAAATTATAATTTTTGCTAATTCAAGTATTCTTACCTTTATGCGATTTGTACGGTTTCGAGATCTTAATTTTCACTTTCCGGTACTCGTTTTTCAAAAATTCCGGCGTAGCTGGCTGAATCATATCGATCTCTTTCGGTTCCGGTTTCTTGCTGAAATCCAACACGTAGTTGCATTCACTATCCGTATCGCTAGTGTCTTCGGGAGGTTGAAAAGCGTCGTCGTGGTACCCGTTGCTGTGGTACCCTTCGTCCGATCTGACGCTACCCTCTGCCGGTGTTATTTGGTGTTCGTAATGGGGATCTTTGGCAGACGGTTCCGGTGGCGTTACCGACGACATTATTTCTGGAGATTGTTGTACTTGTTGTCCTAAAAAAAGTTGTAATTTAAAATAAAATTTATACAACTAATGAAAAATTCTTACTTATCCTCTGTAGCATTTGCTCGCCAGTTAAAGGATAATTCAGCCGTTCAGCAAATTCCTTGCAGTACCACACCAATAGCTCCTGATTGGGTAGAATGGGCTTGATTGTGTAGAAGTAAATGTTCATTTTGTATTGGCATGCTATTAAATTTTGAGATTCGCTTGAATATGCTGGATTCACGTAGCGCATCCAATTGGCTTTGGAAATATCGTAGCCGTCTATGTAGTAGAACAGCTCGTTGTCTTTGTAGATCTGGAAATAATTATCGACGTTTATAAGTTGGCTAATGATTTTTTTTTATGAATCAATCAATCAAAATATACTTTATTGTCAGAAAAGAAATCCTAAGCAACACAGGTACAATTACTACATTAAACTATAGTCATATAAAAGGTACAGCCAATACAGAAGAAACATAAAGGTTGCGGTCAGAACAAAACAAAAAGAATTAAATTTTTTCATTGAAAGATTCATTAGGTAATTGATAGTAGGCTTTTCCATATAAAAATGCTTTGAGTTCTAGTCTAAACTTTTTAAAACCACCTACCTGCCTTAAGTTAACAGGCAGGTGATTAAAAATTTGCCTAGTTTTATAAATAGGTGAAGTTTGCGTCAATGCAGTCTTGGGTGTAGGAAGCTGAATTTAAAGTTGTTGCCTAGTGCATCATAAAGTTTTTTTGTGCATAAGGCATGCAGCTTCCATGATAAATATACAGCACACTGTGAGTATTTGATGTTTTAAAAATAGTGGCTTGCAATGCTCCCATCAATATCCAACCTCACACAAATAACGAACTGCTCTCATTTGAATAATAAAAACAGAATCAAAAAATTTATTAGAAGAGTTACCCCAAAATGCAATGCCATACGTGATATGTTAGTCAACCAATGAGAAATAAACCAACTTAGTAGTATATTGAGGAAAAACACCTATTTAAAATATTATTTCTTCAAATTTTAACTTTTTAAAAAACACGTTTACTGAATAAAAGTAAATATTGCAACCTTGTATGCGCCGTGAAGCGTACTGAAAGGGTAGGTACCGAACGAGAGATAGAGAATACGCAACTAGACTAGAGAACAAGCTGGGCTGGTCCCTTAGACGCGTGTCTGTAGGTAATTAATCATTATTCAATTTTCATTTTTATTTTGCATTAAATTGATTGTTCAATCTAATTTGTTATTAGTGTGTGTGTCAAGGTGCTATCACAGGTCAGTTGAATAATTGTTATTTTATTTTTGAGAGTTCAATTTATACAAGTATTATTTTGTTAATTTTTATGTAATTTTTTGTTTGTTTCTAACATTTTTTATAGCATGTGCATTGTTCATGTATTTAACAAAAATCGTTTCATACTGTAAACAACACAAATAAAGAAATAAATTAAAACCTAAGAAATTATGTGCTGAGATTTTGATTTTGTGTAATCAGAACGTGCATTAGGGCCTTGTTGAATTTACTAACATTTTCCTACCCAGACGAGCGAATATCCTACCAAACAAAGGAAAGAAATATTGGCTCAAAATAACAACTATAGCTGAGTAGCATCCCGTATGGGGCCTCAGTACCTTCCGGCAGACCGGCTAACTAACCAAAAACTCTTCAGTATTGATTATAGGTAGTGTCAATGGAATTTTGTTTGTGTAATTAAAATTTTAGCACAAGAACAGGGGCGGTACCTAGTTTCAACTTTTATTGAATTAATGACTCACAATTATTATTATAATTACACAGTATGTTTCGATTTTTGAGGAATGTTAGATCGAGGGTTTCTCGACCGTGCTCTTTCCCCTCGTTAGTTCCAGGATGAGAACGGTACGATTTACTTTAATAATAAAGTATAGTTTATTTTTTCCCAAGATAGATTTTGGCATTGTCAACTTTGAAATATAAACAATGCCGCTAATGCCGCTTATTGGTCGCTATTCTAAAACTGATGTCAACCTGCAGAAACACCTCATTTTGCGACCAATCAGGGTCAAGCGTTATTGTTTATGTTTCAAAGTTTTCAATGTCAAAATCTGTCTTGGGAAAAAATAAAGTGTAGACGTTTCACAAATTTTTCGTTTCTTTAACATATCACAACCTCCCTTAAATTTCCCTAATATTTGCTATGTCGGGCGCATGTCCAGTAAGTAAAAACAACCACTTGCCAATCGTTTTTTTCAAATTTGTTCTACATGAATACCAAGAAATTTTCAGCACTTCAGCTTCAATTGTGTGTATGTCTAATATTATAAATCATCAAAAAAAAAAATTAAATGTAAATATATTGGTTTTCTTAAAGTTAAAACAAAGCAAGTTAGAGTTACACCAGCTTTTTACAAGGTTCAAAGGTCTTCAGAAATAATCCTTTTCAAATCTTCAATATTTTTTCTTTCCAGGACAGAGTAATGTCATCTGCGAATGATGTTAATTTTGCCCTAATGGGGAGGTGATTAATGGAATCATTTAAATAAAGTAAAAACAATATTGGTCCCAACACAGACTCTTGTGGAACACCTTTGGTCACAGCTAAGTTTGATGACTGAGTATCCCCAATTTTAACAAATTGAGACAAAACACAATGGCGACAAGCTCATTTTCACTAAGACTGATAAACAACTGTTCTAAAAGATTGCATCATGGGTGCCCTTAAATGGTTGGAATCCAAATTGAGTCTCACTTATAATGTAGTTTTGAAAAATATTTTAACATTCTTTAACTAACTTTTCAATTATTTTTGACAACGTCGAGAGAAGTGATATTGGCCGATTGGATTTATTGTTTTTTATTCCTCTAAAGATTTCATTAAGTTCTAATGTGTTTGCAGTTTCCAGTACAAATGTGTCATTCATTGTGACATCCAATAAATAAGAACAAGGATCCATATTACTTTTTAACGGTTTATATTTTGGTGGTTCATTCATCGCTAGTTGAAATTTTGCTAAAACTCCCTGATGATCCGAAAGGCCTACATTACACTAGAGCTAACAAACATTTGCTTTAAGGCGAAATTTGAACATAGATAATCGATTTTGGTTTGAGAATGAGTAGTTATTCTAGTAGGTTCATTAACATACATCTCTTATGTCAAATGATAAAAACAAGTTAGACAGAATGTGTGAAAGAAATTATCATGCGTAAGACGTATGCGTGAACTACACTAAAATTGCATCAGGTTTGATTTTTTTAGGATGTGAAGTGATGTTGCAAGAATTATAATGAAAATGGTAACATGTGCAGTCAACTATCCGAGGATACAATCAGAGTTAAAATGCTTCGATCTTATTTGAAATTGCATGTGTAACAATTCATTCATTCTAATTTTGTCATTGGACATTAGGAGCCAAAATCATGACACTGGATTTAAATCCTTTGAATTTTTATCTCTGAGTCTTTTAAAAACTGAAATATGGAGAACGACTCTGAAACTCTAATTTTTTAGAAGATTGGTAACTTTGTTCCTAAGAAAAGGTCTTCCCAATTACAAAGTCTGAGTCACGAATAAAGTGAAATATATTGAAAGGTATAGAGCAACTATTTTTGAAATGCTCCGTTTTGCAGACATAAATCGAAATGTTACAAATTATTAGGGCATAAATCGCCGTGGGACAAAAAACCACATCAGCTGCCCCAAAAAGAACCTTAACTTAATGTCGTTTATTATTGCATTTACATCTTTATAAGACCGAATTACGATAATGCTTAATGACAGTTATTGTTTTGTTTTTTCGGGCGGCACGTGGTGTCCTACAAAGATGAAATGTGATAAGTTTTTAAATGAACATGTTCTTAATCAATTGATGGTTTTTTATATATTTTTTTTTTTTAGGAAGACACAATATTTTTTACTAAATCGAATTGGTTTAAGGTTTAACTCAGGGCTCGCTCTAGCCTTTCGGCCATCCTGGGCAAAAATAGGAATTGCCGCCCTAGAAATTGATTTGGATGTGAAGGGAAAGGGGGTTATTCAGTGGCGGCCCGTGATTTTTATCTCAAGGGAGGCAGCTTAAAAAAATTTAAAAAAAAGTCGTAGATAAATTTCCAATTTTTTCGCGGAAGGGAGGGGGGTTGGTAAAGCCCACCGCAGGCGCCGCCTGAGAAAGAAATTTTTTTCGGGTGCCACACGCAAAAACGTTTATCTATTTTAGCTAGCCACCAAACCGAGGGATACCGTGCTATGCGAGAAAGGCGGAAATACAATTCTGCGATTTCAAGTAGCCGCGATCATACTTAAGGCTTGTCCGAGCGGGTCCTAACGAAGACGATCAAAGCAGAGCGATAAAAGGCAAAATAGTTTGTAATTTGACGGTGATTGGGTTGCGTTTTTGAGAATGGATATGGAAAAATTTATACAAGAAGTTTATTTAAGAACACCAATATGGAATCAAAAAAGTCCTTCTTACCAGAACCGTGATCTAATTGCGAAATTATGACAAGAAGTGTTAATCTCGTGTGACCAGCACCTTCTTCTTCTTCTTTTCCTGCTCCACAACCGTTTTACGATCAGTGTCGGACTGGGCAACCGGGCAAAATCCCGGTGGGCCAGGTGACGTCTTCGACAGGTGGGCCATTCGAATATTTATAAAAATAAATTAAAATATTTCATTCCCCGCATCATTGACCATCAAATCAAATCATACGTTATTTCGCGTAATCCATCGTCCTTATAGAAAATCAACTATCATTATCAATATCAATTCCCCTTTTGCTCTGAAAAATTTCAAGCCGAAGTCGCGCAGAAATCGCCCGCCGCATATCAGTGAATTTAAATTCAACTGACGTAGCCGTTGTTGATTTTCAGAAATACAGAGACAGGGTAGTGAATTTGGTATTGAAAATGTTTTAATAACTCTTCGTTTTTCGCAAATCAATCACCCTGTTTTTCCGAAAATCAGCCTAATCAGCAACGCTTAGAATGACTGAAATAGTTTTTCTGTTTATTGATTACGATATCTTTAGAAATTAACTCTCTTCTAAGACCATAATATCATTTAAACATCTCGACCTTCGCCTCCCTCTATTTTTTTATTTTTATACACCCTAGATATCCGAGAACGGAAAGCTAAAAAAGAAGAAGTTATATACAGGGTGTCCCACCGGGAACCAAATCAATCTATATAATAATATGAAGAACTGTATGCAGAAATTTTTTGGAAATTTGACAGTATACCAATGTCAATGGGGCAACCCGGCAATGTGGCTCTTCCGGTTATACCGAAAGTCAACTTGCTTATTTTAAACAAGACACTTTGTATGTGATTGCATG